GGGGGGGGATGTCGGCAATTTTTTTTATTTTTTTATTTTTTTTTCTGGTTTTAGTGTTCGGGCACGTAGGTACACGTGTCCGAAGCCCAACGCGCGAATTTCGTTTTTTCGAATTCGACGCGACACCCCCGTTTTTGCGTTTAACGCGATTTAACGGGGGTCAGGGGCCCGTTAAACGGATGAACGCGCCTTCAATTTTTCGCATTCTCCGTTAAAAAAATACACAGCCCACGGGTAATGGAAAGTGGAAAAGAGAAACGTCTGAAAACCTTAGCAGCACTATTAAATTTGAGTTTTCGACCTTGTGTGGCCATGGCGGAATATTGTATGATATATTGAATACGACGCAACTTGGTACGATTGTGTACAAAACACCTTGTAGAATCTTATTAAAATTTTTAAGAATCTTTGCAATATCCAAGTTCACCTAGGCCAATTTGGCATGTGGTTTACCCGCTTGATCACAAAATCTAGATCTACTCATGTTTTTTATTATATCAGAGATAGGTGCTTCCATTGTAATATTGGTTTTTCCAAAACTGATAAGTGTAGACAAGAATTTCACTTTATTGCCAAGCTCTATATTCGAGGATATTATCAAATTAATAGAAAAATCTGTTTGGCCAAACAATAAGGTTCATCCACACCGAGAATCCAATCTTTCTCATATCGAACATAATAAACTCGGACTTGTTCAATTATGGAATCAATACAAAAGTACGATAACTATGTTTTACGCGCTTGAATCAAAGTCTGTATTTTAAAAAGGCGCCACTTATAGAGGTTAGACTATACCCTTATCTCACCTCGTAGGCCGAAGGCGACGTCATATGTCTACGCTTTCCATCTTCATATGCTAGATCCAATACGACTAGGAGTCAGCCGAGCCGCTCGCCTTAGGAACTAACTAGATCCTCAATTGAAATGAAATTGGGTGAGTATTGACGTATTAGCATGAAATCAATCATGCTATCCTCTTTCAAGTCAGTCGTTACGGGGTCTATGAAGGCGCTCGCGTTCATTGAATTGCTTTCTTTTCTACATACAATGCACCAACTTCCCACGATATTGTCATGGTTCTTTGTTTGTATAAATAAGAACTACCGGTTCCACCGTTAGTAATTTAAGATAAATGTTGATATGTGTTACCATATTATTGACTTATTAGGTTTCGTAAAGTAATTGACACAAGAATAGGATAGCAAAAAAAAAAACAAGGGTAGATATCCCATGAACAAAGTCATAGCTTCGTCCTCAGTTTGATATGAAGTACGAAAAAAAATTGAAGGTAATAAAGTATGCAATGTGGTAAAAAAGAAGAAACTAGTTTTTCGAGAGTCTGTAGATCTCAATCAAGAGTCAAACAAGAGTGAATACCACATATAAGAGTAAAAACTAAACTTCCTACTATTGTATTCAAACAATTGAATGTTGAAGATTGAAAATGATATAGCAATTGTAAAACAGGAAAACTCAACAGAATAGCCATGAACGCCAACGACACAAAACCCTGAGATCTGGAAACAACGCCTGTCGTGCAATCCCGCCACGCCCTAAGGACGTGGCAGAGAATACTGCCTGGGCGCATGAGGGGAGAAGACAAACCTTGGGGCCATTGAGGAGACGACTGTCGGAGGGGGAAACTTACCAGGTGAGGGGAGGGGAGGAGTATCGAAGGAAGGGATACTTCAAACGGGAACGATTGCAACACACTCTGAGATGAGAGGCATCGGAAGGCAGCACAACCTCGAGGTAAGATCGTTCCATTATACTCAAGTCAGGTACAAACGAAGAGGCAAAATCCAATGACGATCACACTTCTGACATCTAATGCAGCACGATCAAACTCCATAAATATTAGTTGATATTTCCTTTAAATTTCTCGAGTCGAGATAGAGCCCAGTGGGTAGAATAGCATTCTTTCCTTAGTTTGAAAGTAAGGTAAGTGAGTTGCAACTGTTCAGTCACAAACAAGAACTTTCTTTCTCCTTTCGGTGCATGATACAATCATTAAAGTAGCATACTTTCCTCATTTAGCAATTCAGGACAAGTAGACTCGAAGGTTGGCGAAGAGATGATCTGCATTTGAGGCGGTAAGTATTACACTATAGCATTCTAGGTTACGTCCCGTCGATCCTTCGACAATCGAGTAGGGGCAAGGTCATCTCCTATTTCCACATTGATCAAGTTAGAGCATCGAATCTAGGATTTACGAATTTGTACTTGAATACGAAGCATGTACATAGCGGTAGTCCCCTCTTCACATGAGAACTAGGACACATCTGGGTCTTCTCTTCTCATGAAAGCCTTGAAGGCTTGAACGCATAGTTGCATTATTGACAATAACAAAATGTCAATAGCAGCAGTAGTTTTCAACTTTATCCATAATGGAGCAAAATTCATGAATTGGACGATCTTCATGAGAGGCATACAGTAGTTTTCAATTTTACCTGAATGGGGAAGATCTCATGCCGGCTGAGAAAAGAAAATGGATCATTGAGACGATAAAAAAGGAGGCCAAACTCAAAGACGTTGGAGAGGGTTTCTCCCTGCAGAACCTGGGGCGCAACAACCTTATGGTGATTTTCAACAAGGAAGATCATGCCCAGATTGCAGCGGAAATGTAGTCGAGAAACTGCAATGGGTCAATCTGCATGATAACAAAATGGAAGAATCAAACGGCTCAGAGACAGAGCCCCACGTTCACTGTCTCCTACACGCAAACACTGATGAAAGAACACTTTTGAGTTCGGTTCGACGACATCCATCCGGATTTTCACGGACTGGTGTTGGACAAGCTAGAACGACAATACACAACGAACAGAATTCTGAAGTGGATTCTACCGACCCCAGAGTTTCTCTCACCTCATTGTGAGTCGATGACGACCCTGCTAGAAGTCAAAATAGATGACCCCCCTATCTCTTCCATAAATTTGGAAACTTCAGATTGAAGTAAAGTTCTCGAAATCAGTGTCTCAACGAAAACTTTCTCAATCTATTTCAGATGCAGGGGGCGCGGGCACTTGGGCACAAACCCAAGCTCCCCAAAGTTTCCAAAACAATCGAAGGAGCAAAAACTTCTCCCCAACATGCTTGTTGAGGTCAAGGATGCCCTGGGCACATGGTTTATTATTGACCCCTGTTATGATGGTTGGGTGTTCGACAACAATCTGGATGACCCAGACTGGGTGTGGCACTATGCAGACCAGGAGCCCACAGTAAAAAAACCCAACATTTTTCCTCTTGCAAACAGCAGCAGACAACAAATGGCAAAAGAGGCAATAGGTAAGATCACTGGGAATCCAACAAAGATTAACACAAATCCACTGATCGGCTCCCACGTGGTTAGGGAAGAGAAAGCAAGGGAAGATTTGTTATGGGACTTGGACTCAATCCGGGAACAGGCAGAAGAACAATATAGCAAGGAACCAACAACGTTGAAAGCAATGCTCAACCGAGTGGAGCAAGAGGCCAGCCAAAAGCGCACGCTCGAGGGAGAAGACTCACAGGAGAAGGTAGAGGTGGGTCTCAAATGAAGAAAAGCGATGGAATCAGACAAAGAAATGGGGCAAGAACAGCCTCCCGCAAAAAGACAGAAAAAGAACACAAATTCTGATTCCGCTAACGTAGGAATCGATACCGAGGACAACGAATTGGGAAAGGACAGCGAATTCTGATTCCGCCAACGCAGGAATCGGAAAGACCAGAGGAACAACCATGGACAGTGGGCTCGACTCCCACCGGTCCCTCCAGTGGCTGCGGGACTATATAAAGAAGGCAAAGAAGGAAAGAGAGCACACTTTCGACATTAGAGCGGCCTGCTTGAAGCACATTGAAAAATCTCAAAGAAACGGAAAGAGCAGCAAGAACAGAACAGTCACAGGTATTGAGGAATCAAACAATCAGTACGAGGCTCTAAAAAAGGAAAAGGTGGAGGAATTCTCAGAGTATACCGCCTTAAGGTATGCCGAGAAAAAAAGAGCAAGAGAACAAGGACTGACTGGCAAAGACAAGACAGTCCTCAACACCAATGACTCCTTCCTGGATCTGCGCCCGAAGAAGTGGAGAATAACAAAGAATCAGAAAAAAAAGGAACCCAACTCATATTCGAATCCAGACCCAACAAAAACTAAGGAAGATTCCACACGATCATTGTTAGAAAAAGAAATGGCGGTGGTTATGGCTCAAACGGAGAAGCTGAAAAAACTGAACGCGGAATACAGATCAGAATTTGCATCCATTCAGCACATTGCAGATGGTAAGGCACCTCACGTTGTGGCCTCAGCAAAATCAGCAAGACTGACCCTAATGGGCACGTGCCTGCTGATTGCAGCCAGGTACCTAGAGAAGGAGGGAGAATGGCAGGTGGCTACTGATGTGTCCTTCACAATTCCCGGGTTGGATGAAGGACAAAACGTAGTCAAAATCCTCCAAGAAAAGGTAACGGAGGAATTCCCACTGGGCCTGTATGAACCAATTGAGCCCCACGACTGTTTGGAGGCCAGCTTCCCCCAAGCAGCCCATGGGGAACAACAGTATCACTAGATGGAAGGGGAACGTCCTCACGGGTCCAGGAATTCCAGCAAAACTGCTGGCGGCCTTGGTAGCACAACTCTTGAGCTCCGATATCTTGAAGCGAGACAGTGATCTGGAATCCAAAGCACTCACCATCGATCTAGACAGGTTCTACAAAAGTGACTATTCAGAGGATGATATGGAAGACTGGCAGGATGATGGAATCACCTCGAAACCGGCCTTGTCAATGGACCAAGGAACCAGTGGAAGCATTGGAGAATACCGAATAGATGATGCCACCACCAAGACACAGCAGGACCCGCCGGACGAGTCCACATCCGCTATGGAGGAGTTCGACTAGGACCCCTCCTAAAAGCCATTACACTCTGATTCCAGTCTCACCACGGCCTGGCTGCCGTAATGGTGGAAATCTTTAGAGAAAGGGTAAGCGCTAAGGAGGAGCGAGTGAACTGGACGACGCAAGGGATAGTCATCAAAAGTTGGAATGTCAACGGGTTGGGCAACATAAGGGACAAAGAAGCAAAAATGAATGACATAATCAAAGGATAGACGGTTCATACAAACAAACTGACAGATATAATCCTGTTACAAGAAACACACCTTACCACGTCAACAAAACACAACAGAACCCGGAAAGCATTAACAAAAAAGATGGGAGTCACAAGTGAAGTATGGTCATCGGACAATGGATCAAGTACAAAGGGAACAACCATCCTCATACCCAAATCTTCCCGCCTCCTCACTACAGGGTCGGTCATGGGCATGGAGGCCAATACAACAGAGGGTAGATGGTGCCTCGTGGACTTGAAATGGAAGGAAGAGGAATTTAGAATGATCAACGTGTACGCACCAAACAACTCTTATGAAAGAACAACATTCATAACGAACATTGGTCAACTGATCACCCCCCTAACACAATGCATCTTAGCAGGGGACTGGAACGCAACATTGGATCCATCCACCGACCACATCTCCAGATCGGTCGGGTCGCGTCGTAGGTTAGATTCGTAATTTTGTTTGGCTGAGGGCTCACCGAGAGACCTACCTGTAAGGAAACTTCGTGAGGGACATATCTGCAAATTCGGGAAAATATAGGCCCGTACTAACCGAATTTCCTACAACTACCCTAACTGTGAATTGCAGACCCGGGCTACCCCTAGAACAGCCAGGCCCTATAGGCCTAAGCTGATAGACGGTCCTATAGCCTATAGCCGAAATAGAATCGGTATCGGTCGGTCAGTCAGTCCGGTCTAGGTCGAGTCTAGGCTAGTTTAGACTATAGATAGGATGGGCACATCGGTTCAGGGCTTTTGGCAGTTGGTACCGAGTACATCGTTGTTGCACTACGCGTGAACCGGAAGTGGTGACAGCTCAGCGTGGAAGGAGACAGACATAGCCAGACCTTCGGAGCGCCGGCCATAGATGGGGCTTGCGCTGTACTCTGACAGCATGCAGGGGCTGACAGAGGTTTGCGTTATCGAGGTCTGCTGGAAGTGAGAGAGATTGGTGCCTTGCTGGACCCTCCTCCGGAGTGGGGTTCCAGGGTGTCGGCGCTGTAGCCATAGCTGCAGCTTTCTTCCTGAGAGGTCATCTTGTCAGGGTTTGGTGGCGCTGCTGCAGACTTCCACCCGGTAAGTCTTCTGACACTTCGTCATTATGAGATACTGTGGTGCTGGTCTTCTTATTCATCCTCTGAGTGGCGCTTGGCCTCAGATGCCTATTTCAGGGTGGCGCTTCCCTCAGGAGGCTATATCTGGGTGACGCTTGATGTTTCAGGGGCGCAGGGGTGTTACGGGTGTTATTCAGGGTTGGGGAGTGAAGCGCTGCTCATTTCTGAGCTGCGCACTGTAGTTCTGAAGTTATCCGGACAATTTGAGACTCTGGGTTTAATAAACAGTGTAGAACTGGGCTTAGACTGTCATCGTTTCATTGTTCCCTGGATGTGATCTGCTCGACTTTTCTCTATGACTGTTTGTGAGGGTTGAGTGGAGTGAATTGCACTTTTAGTGTACCCTGTCATATCGCATGGTCAAGTCTTCCGCTATGTTATCTCTCCCTGTGCGGTATGATATTCCTATCCTCTCCCCTTCCTTCTGTGTATGTATGGGCATACCTGGAAGTCTCTGTGAGTGAGTGTTGGCCTTCAGGCAACAAACAACGAGAATCATAACAGTTGGTATCGGAGCAATTGGATCCAGGATCTGGAGTGATTGATGAGTTGGAGCGTCCATCATCATCTGGCGAGATACTAGAGTTGAGTCTCATGGCGATTCATCATCTTCAGGGTTGTTGTCAACAAGGGTGGTGGTTGTGAGTGTGTGGCGAGAAGAATTGGACAGAGGGTGACTCACTCCTGACTAGGGTTGTGCAAGAGTGATTGGCGATCGACACTCAGAGGCCTGAGAGGCTCTGAGAGGCTAAATATAGCCTGGCGATTCACCTGGAGGTTGGCGATTGTCAAGGAAGTGATCCCATGAGGTGGCGATTGTGGAATTGGGCCAGGATCCCAAATTTCCAGGCAGCGCAGTACAGGGTGATGTGGCACTGCACTGACTTTCTCACTTATCAACACCTGGGAGGCATCATTTACTGATTCTGTCAGTTGGGGGTGAAGCGCCTCAGGGTAATCTACTGGATCACCAAGTTTGAGGCAGTTTGGTACGTAGGAACACTGGATACTGTCAGGAGATGAAACTGGCAAGATGGGGTTGACCAGTCAGCCATAGCCAGAGGTTCATGCATTTTCTTCAGAGTTGACCCTGAAGTAAGTGTGTTCCTTACTCCATTCTGTGTGGCGATTTTGGGGCTATTTTTAGATTAGGGAAATTCGGTCTGTCTGTCAGGTGACAGTTGAAAATCGAAATTCAGACTGTGGGACAACCATATCCAACTTCCCCTACCTATCTTCTTTGACTTCTTCTAACCCTGTTTGACCTTCTTTCTTACTCATATTTCATTTGTGACTGCTTTACAGTATTGCGATTGACACTGTGTAGTGAATTGGGGAATTAAGGGTCCTGTCTTTAGTGACAATGCAAATTTGAATTCTGTGCTGACATAGCTAAAGCTAGGCTAGACTAGGGTCAGTCATAACTTTGGTTCTGTCTGGCAGAATTCAATTTTGTCAGTCCCTGATAAATCGCAATCCAGTATTCAGTCAGTGTCTGAAATTGCACATCCAGATTTGATGTTCTGAGTCAGTTATAGTGAAAACTGTAATTCGCCATACCCAAGGTATGGCATACAGGGTCATCTAGTGGTGAGGTCCGTAGGGTAGGTCTAAAAATAGGGTAACCTGTAAATCACTACATCTTGGTCATAAGTGGACACCTGTCAAACCCTAATTAGTTACTTTGTCTAATTAGTAATCACCACTAACTAGTCCAAGACTGCATCTTGTCAGTTGTTGAAGCAGAATTTGCAATTATTGCAAGGAAAAATCGTGAAATGGATTTTTGCCTGAGTGGACTCTAAACTGACCGTGACCCTCAAGTGGTCTGCTGAGACTGAGCACTCACTTGCTCAGACTAACCAATCTTCTCTCTCCAGACAAGTGACAGCAATTGAGTGAGTACTGAAGGGAAACCTCAATTCCTGTTACCTCCTGCTTTGTCTTTGTTTATTGTTCATTGCGTGTTTATTTATCTGTATTGTGGGTGAGCAAAATGGTTGATTCTGGGAAGGCAGCAGTGTCTCAAAAGGCTGAGACTTTTGATGAGAAGCCTCAGGTACAGCCCAAGATTACGGTACAACCTGAGACACCTGTTCTGCTTGACCCTTTAGAGGCTGAACTGCGGGCCCAGGAGGAGAAACTCCGCCAACAGGCCCAGGCAGTTGAGTCTTTGAAGGCTGAGCTGAAGAAGAAGGAAGAAGCAGCTCAGAAGGAGGCTAGGAGAAAACTTCTGATTGCAGATGTGGAGAAGGTCAGGACAAGTGGTAGTTCCAGTCAGTACAACAAGGACATGGCTGAATTCATCCTCTTGCAGGATGACATTCACCGTTCTTATTTTACTAACTGGGATGACCGAATTACTAGTCTGGAGAATAGCCACTCAGCTTTTTCCAAGAAGCTGGATGACATTTCTGCCAAACTGGATCTGATCTTTACTCACCTCAAGATCCCCGCCACTTCCCCTGCTCCTCCCTCTCCTGGACCTTCTCAAGGAAGACCCACATCAACCCCACAATCCAAGCATACATCTCCACGCTCTACACCCACATCAACAGCAGCTTCACAGCCCTCAACACCATTTGAGTTTCAGCGGCCTAAGCTGACACCGCCACCCATGTTCTCAGGTGAGGACCAAAGGTGGATGTGGCAGATTGGGTCGCTGCACAGAGAACCTACCTGAGTGGGTTCAAATGTGATGAGGATGTCAAGGTGTCTGCCATCCTTGCTCGCTTGGAGCAATCAGCACTGAAATGGTGCACCTCTACCTCCGGCAAGCAAGGTATGGAGATGTTTGATTGGGCACAGAGGTTGGGGGTGGTTGGATTCCTGCAGGCACTGCAGGACCGGTTTGCATACAAGGAGCAAGCCAGGAAGACAACAGACAAAATTTTGCGCCTAGGCCAGAAAAAGTTTGATGGCTTCTTGTCCAAACTGTATTCCACCTTTGAGAGTCTTACATCGACTCCTGGGTTGGAGATGAGTGAGCAGGATCTGCTCATTCATTTCCTCAGAGCAGCGCCTGAGCAGTTCCAGCTTGCTCTAATTCTCTTAGGGCCACAAGGATTGGCGGTCCTTTGGCAGAGCAGCTCTGGACTTGGAGTCCAAACTCCATGTCCAGGAAGCACCTTCTGAAGGAAGGAAGGGACCCTTCTCAAAAGGGCGAAGGAGGAGGAAGGGTGCCCTGTTTGCTGCTGCAGCTTCTGGTTCAGATAGTGACGCAGCATCCCAGGGTGGGAGCCCTCCACCTGGGACTGCATCATCATCTGCTGCAGATTTAGCAGTTCTTGCCCTGGCTGATGCTTTGATGGGCTTGACAAAGGGCAAGGCCCCATCCCAGAAAGCATCAACCAGTAAACAGGGGAAAGGAAAGGGACGTGCCTCTTCCCCTGGTGCCAGAGAGTGTCTGTTACGGACTTCGCCAGGGCTCGATCCCTAGTCTATCTTTTTGCTGTTTCGGCTGCATCCCGTTTTCGGCCTGGCACCCTTTTTCCAAACCCCTCCTTTGGTACCGTAGGATTTTGGACAACTGGCGCCATGCTGCAATTCGGGCGCCACTTTCAAATACTGCATTTTTCAGTTCTGCCCTCGGGGCCTTTGCAGAAATGCCCCTGGTACCGCACGTGTCACCGGTACTTATACCGGCTCCCCGTACGGTACGGGGACCGGTCTCGTACCAGTTCTCTGCTGTTGTACTCGTACTCAGTGTGACTTGCTGTTTCGGCATTCGGAATCCAAGACTTCGACTTTATGCCTTGCCACTGTGTCTGCGGCCGATCCTCAGTCCGAGTCCGTCGTGTCGAGTGAGTGATTGTGTGTGTGTGCTCTCCCTCTCTCCCTCTCTCTCCTCTCCCTCGGCTCACCCTCAGCCTCACGCTCGTTACAGAGCCTCTACCACGTGACGTCCGCTGGCCAGCTGATCCCCTTGACCCTTCCACCTTCCCCTGACATGCACTCTGGATCCAGGAGGGGGTATGGAGGAAGAGAAAGGACAAGGGGGTCTGCCTGAGATGCGAGGGGGACCACTTCCTGAAGGACTGTCCCAGCATGCCTCGCAGGTCTACAGCATGCCTCGTAGGTCTACAGGCACCTGAGTTGGATGAGACGTGGGAGGAGGAGGATGCTTAGTGCCTTGCTGATCTTTTCCTATCCTTGCAGGAGAAGAAGAAGCATAAGTTAGAGCTCATCCTACTTCGACCCTCTATCCTAGGAGCCAAGATCAAAGGGCTTTTAGACTGTGGGGCTACTCGCAACTTCATCTCTCCCAAGGCAGTCAGCAAGCTGCACTTGGATCAAAGGTTGGTGAAATTGTGGAAGCCTTTAGAGGTGCGCATTGGAGACTCTTCCACAGTCAGGATCACTACTGTTGTCAAGGGCCTACCTGTGCCCTTTGACAAGCAGGGAGAAGTCAGGCATCGCCTGAACTTCTATGTGTTTCCTAATGTCCCCTTTGACCTTGTCTTCTCTATGCAGTGGCTTGGTGCCACCAATCCTAGGATCGACTGGCGGATCCCTAGGGTTGAGCTACCTGACCGGCATGGGGTATATCGCCCTTGCATGCTCGCTGACGAGTATCATCCGGCCAGCAACTGTTATTGCATGAGTGCTCGCAAATTTTTGCGATTCTCACGCCAGACTGACCACGCCCGTCTGTTCATGGCTTATGTCAAACAGACTGACGTGGACACTGCTCCCTGTCCCTCTCAGGTTCAGCAGGTTGTAGACAGTTTCTCTGATCTTATGGAGGAGCCTACTAGACTTGTCCATAGGCAGACCAAATATAAGATTGAGATCCTGCCTGGTTCGGTCCCTCCCAAGGGCCGAGTCTACAGGATGTCACCTCTGAACTTGAAGAGCTCAGGAAACAGTTAGAGATCCTGACCAGCAAGGGCTGGATCAGGCCCAACACATCTAAGTTTGGGGCACCCGTCCTCTTTGTTCCAACGGGGAATGGTGAATTCACGATATGCGTGGACTACAGAGGTCTCAACAAAATTACGAGTAAGTCTACAGAGCCCCTTCCTCGCATTGATGATCTGTTGGATATGGTAAAGGGATGTACTATCTTTAGCAAGATCGACCTCAAATCTGGCTATCACCTGATTGAGATGGCTGAAGGCGATGTCCACAAGACAACCTTCAAAACCAGGTATGGTACTTATGAGTACCTGGTCATGCCAGTCGGTCTTTGCAATGCCCCAGGCACCTTCCAAACAGAGATGCATCGCATACTCAGGCCTTACCTGGACAAGTTCGCAGTTGTCTACCTTGATGATATCTTGGTATTTAGTCGTTCTGTCCAGGAGCATGCGCATCATCTCGCTCTGGTCCTCCAGGCCTTACGTGATAACCAATACAAGATCAACAAAGAGAAGTCCTCTTTTGGGGTTCCCTCTGTAGTCTATCTGGGTCACGTCATTTCTGGAGAGGGGTTGGCTCCTGAAGCAACGAAAGTTGCGGCAGTTCAGGACTGGCCGCGACCTGCTAACATTCCTGATGTCTGATCCTTCTTGGGGCTTGCATCGTATTACAGGAAGCTCATTAAGAACTTCTCTTCTATTGCAGCTCCCCTGACTGATCTCACAAGGAAAGACACGTCCTTTCTTTGGACATCAGAATGTCAGGAGGATTTTACACGTCTCAAGGAGGTCCTAATTCGTGCCCCTGTCTTGAAGCTACTTGACCCTACCCTGCCTTTTGTGCTTACTACTGATGCTAGTCAGTATGGTGTAGGGGCGGTACTTCAACAGGATGATGGGAATGGTCTGCAACCTATCGAATACATGAGCAAGAAGATCAAAACAAAGAAGCTGCATGACTCTACCTATGAGAAAGAGCTATATGCTCTTGTGTCAACGCTCAAGCATTGGAAGCATTTCCTCCTGGCAGACACTTCAAGATCTTTTCAGATCACTCTACTTTGCAGTGGATGAAGTCCCAGGGAGAACTGAATGACAAGCTTGCTCGTTATATTCAGTTCATTGACATGTTCGACTTTGAACTGAGACACAAGAAGGGCTGCTACAATCGAGTAGCAGATGCCCTTTCTCGTAGGCCTGACGCTTTTTTCCTGATCTCCTTTACTCACTCATTTGGAGAGAGGACCCGTCAGACCATTGCCCAGTTGCTGCCCCAGGATGAGATCTTTGCGCTTATCGTGAGGAATCTCCAAGACGATCTTGCCTCTGAACCAGGATATACTTTGGTTTCAGACCTGCTGTACACATGCAGCAGAGGTGAGGAGCGTCTGTGCATTCCCCAGGACCGCAAGCTGAGGACACTTATGATGTCAGAGTGTCATGATGCTTGTGGTCACTTTGGGGTCCTCAAATCTTATGCAGCCCTGTCGCGGCGCTTCTTCTGGAAGGAGATGAGGAGTGACATGATGCACTATGTGGAAACATGTGAGTTATGCCAAAGGAACAAGGTTGTACGTCGACCTCCCCTTGGCCTACTCAAACCACTACCTATCCCTGATGCTCCTGCACGGTCAGTGTCTATTGATTTTACTGACTTGGGTAGGACTACTCCTCGTGGTATGCGTCAGGTCATGGTATGTGTGGATCAGTTCTCCAAATATGCGGAGTTCATCCCCTTACCAGTTGAGGCTCGTGTGCCAGCCGTTCAGGCGGCGTTTGCTGACAGGTGGGTTACACATCATGGACCACCCACCTCTATTGTCAGTGACAAAGATCCCCGGTTTTGCAGCAATGAATGACAATCCTACTGCAGGGATTACCTTCATTCTCGATTGGATATGACATCTGGTCGTCATCCTGAAGCCAATGGACAGCCTGAAGTGATGAACCAGATTCTGTTCCAATTGCTACGTGCAGTGATCAGTCCAGATCAACAGGACTGGGATCTCCATTTGAGTCGTGCACAGCTTGTGTACAACACGTTTGTACACTCCTCTACCGGCTTCACACCCTACCGGTTGCACTGGGGTCGTGAGCCACGGCAGGCTCTCGATGACATCATTGACAAGGCTACACCTACGTTGACGCCTGGAACTGCAGAGTTCACCAGACGTTACCGTGTCGACGTTGAGCGCGCCCGTGCTAACCTGTTGAAGACCCAAAAGGCAATGATTCAGCAGGCCAATAAGCACAGACGTCCCTCTACTATTCGCACCGGTGACTGGGTGTGGGTACTCAGTTGTGAGCTATCACGGGAGGAGGACATATCGCCTAAGTTGTTGCCACGATACATGGGTCCATGGCAGGTCTTAAATACAGTGGGAGCCGATCCATTTGGACCATCGTACACAGTGGATGTCCCTCTGCATCTACAAACCTGCCCTGTCTTCCATGCATCTAAGTTGTTGCCGTTCACGCCCGCTGATGCGTTCCCAGACAGGCCTCCTCAGTTCGGGCCCCCTATCCCTGGCAAAGGGTATGAGGTCGAAACTGTGGAGGATGAGTCAGGTACAGGTCTAGATAAGGAGTACCTTGTGAAGTTCTTATACCAGCCACATACTGAGGACCGCTGGTTTACTCGCAAGGAACTTCTGAAGACGGTCAAGTCTGTAATCCTAAAATATGAGGCAACACAGAAGGGGATATCCCTTCGGCGCTCTGCACGCCTACGCCCCTAGCTCGGAGGTCCTCACTCCGGGGGAGGGTAGGTCTGCAATGACTTGCTGTTTTCTGGACGCCTGTAGCCTCTCTCTGTCGAGGCTGTACTATAGGTAGGATAGATTCGCCATTTTGTTTGGCTGAGGGCTAACCGAGAGACTTACCTGTGAGGGCAATTCGTGAGGGACATATCTGCAAATCCGGGAAAATACAGGCCCGGTACTAACAGGATTCCCTACAGCTACCCTAACTGCGGATAGCAGGCCCGGGCTACCCCTAGGACAGACAGGCCCTAAGGGCCTATACTGATAGACCGTCCTATAGCCTATAGTCGGGTCCGGTAGAGGCCGAGAGGCCGAAACAGAAACGGTACCGGTCGGTCAGTCAGTCCGGTCTAGGTCGAGTCTAGGCTAGTGTAGTATAGATAGGATGGGCACATCGGTTCAGGGCTTTTGGCAGTTGGTACCGAGTACATCGCTGCTGCGCTACGCGTGAACCGGAAGTGGTGACGGCTCAGCGTGGAAGGAGACAGGCATAGCCAGACCTTTGGAGCGTCGGCCATAGCTGGGGCCTGCGCTGTACTTTGCCAGCATGCAGGGGCTGACAGAGGTCTGGGTTATCGAGGTCTGCTGGAGGCGAGAGAGATTGGTGTCCTGCTGGACCCTCCTCCGGAGTGGGGTTCCAGGGTGTTGGCGCTGTAGCCATAGCTGCAGCTTTCTTCCTCAAAGGTCATCTTGCCAGGGTTTGGTGGCGCTGCTGCAGACTTCCACCCGGGAAGTCTTCCGACACTTCGTCATCATCAGATACTGTGGTGCTGGTCTTCTTCTTCATCCTCTGAGTGGCGCTTGGCCTCAGAGGCCTGTTTCAGGGTGGCGCTTCCCTCAGGAGGCTGTATCTGGGTGGTGCTTGATGTTTCAGGGGCTCAGGGGTGTTACGGGTGTTATTCAGGGTTGGGGAGTGAAGCGCTGCTCATTTCTGAGCAGCGCACTGTAGTTCTGAAGTTATCTGGACAATTCGAGACTCTGGGTTTAATAAACAGTGTAGAACTGGGTTTGGACTGTCATCGTTTCATTGTTCCCTGGATGTGATCTGCTCGGCTTTTCTCTTTGACTGGTTGTGAGGGTTGAGCGGAGTGAATTGCACAGTGTACCCTGTCATATCGCATGGTCAAGTCTTCCGCTGTGTTATCTCTCCCTGTGCGGTGTGATACTCCTATCCTCTCCCCTTCCTTCTGTGTATGTATGGGCATACCTGGAAGTCTCTGTGAGTGAGTGTTGGCCTTCAGGCAACAAACAACCAGAATCATAACAATGGACTATCTGGAAGGAAAGATGCTGCAGGACCATTGAGGGCGTGAAACGGTATTCACCAATTCGTGGTAGCTGAGGTAGATCCCAGGGCTCGATCCCTAGTT